CCGTTCCCCGCTGGCGGAGATCTGCTGCCACGACTTGGCTGACGTGACCCTGGTGAACGTCAGGGGAGCAGTAATGCAGCAGGTTTTAATCGATTTATGCCTGCAAGGTGTGAACGTGCAGCTCTGCCTCTCCTTCCTGCCCCTRAGGGCTCGCCTGGGTCCTGGACAGGGACACAGACATTCCAATTTCCTCCAGGAACAAAGGTGAAATCCCAAGGATTTCATCCCAGCCCTCTCTGTGCTGCAGGGTCTGCTCTAGGCTCTGGCACTGCTTCCTTGTCGGTCAGGGCAAGATGGAAATTTGCATGGCTTAATTCAATACCTGATCCCAGCTGGAATCTTGGAGCTGGAAAGCCAGAGAGCTCATGCTGCTCTAGTGCTAGAAACGTGCAAGGTGTTGGGGGGAAATCTGCCTAAGCTAGGCTCACGGGAGGGAGGAAAGGGATGCAGAGCCGGCATAAACTCTTGGATCTCTGCTCTGGGAGCCAGAACCAGCTTTGTCCCAGGGCTTGGGCATGCAGGAAGAGGTTGGGAATGAGGAGGGGGAAAATGGGCAGGGCAGTGGCAGCTGGGAACACCACACACTGACCCCACCAGAACCATCTGCACGAGGCTGTTCACCAGAGAACAKCCTGCCTTTCCTTTCCTGCCACCACTGCAGGACCTTCCATCCAGAGTGGTTTTCCCTAGAAGGTGTGGTAACCCCTCAAACCAGGCACAGGAGCTCCTCCCAGCCCCTCCTCTCCCGGCACACAACCCTCAGCACACACACACCCGCGATTATCCTTTCAGAAAGGACACTCTGAACAACCATAACGCAAAGGGAAACATCTAGCAGAGAGGGCTCTGGCGTTTGGAAATAGCTGAGGAGTCTCTGAGCAGGAGCCCCAGCTCTCTGGATGCTTGGGAATAAAGCCAGAAACTGCGAGGCAAAGGCACTGCCCACCCTTCCCGGGGCACCTGTAGTGCAGGCAGTGCGTGGGCTCGGCTCACACAGCTACTCCCCTGCTTTAAAAATAGCATAAAATTATAATAATCAGGCACGTTTGGGGCTCCCAGCAGGAAGGATCAACAGGTGCAGCCACAGTCACCCCATAGCCAGCTAGGTCAGGGTTTCCAGGCAAATGAGAATGATTTCTCCCTGTTTTCACCACCCACCCTATAGTGTGGAGGACTCTGCAGGTTCCCATTCTCCTCCCTTTGAGGAGAGGAGTTCTTCATGGAGGAAATGTGAATTTTCACAGCGTCCCTTAAAACCATAATTTGCCCCAGCCTGGAGCAACCTCCCGGGAGCCGAGGGGTGCTGGCCCCACACTGCTCACGGGGGGAAGCTGCCACATGTAAACTCCATTTCCACCCAATTGATTAAAATTGGCCTCTCTTCTTTTTACCCTGTGCAACCCCATCGATGTGCTCAGAGGTGACCTCATTCCTTACAGCTGCTGCTGCTGCTCCCCCTTCGGCTCTTCCACCTTTGCCCAGCCCCTGCCTGGCCTTGGGCAGCGTGGGGAAAGTGTGGGCATCCCCTGCCCGYTGGGAATCCCTCCGGAGGGCAATGTGTCACCATCAGGTTCATCGGGGTGCCAGCCTTTGAGACCCCTGCCCTGAGAAACCAGCTGAGGGCAAGCACAGTTGGCTTTGCCCCTGGAAAAGCCGGGGTGAGCACCAGCATGGAAGCACCAGGCCGTTTCCAGGACACGTTGCAGTGAATTTGCAGCTGCCTTCAATTTTATGGGCTCTGGGGTGGGCTGGGGCAGAGCCACACGAGCAGCAGGCACAGCCCTGGGCCCGCCGGGGTCACACACGAGCAAACACACCAGGTCCCTGTGTTTTGTTCGGCTAACAGGGAAGAGATTGTGTCCCTCCTGTCAGCTGTGACTGCGCAGGGCACGGCTCCGGAAAAAACAAGGCTCCATCTTGCAGAACCCCGGGAGCCAGAGCCAGGCGTGGGTCTGCTCCCTGGATGTGCCCCCCTGCTCTCTGTCCATGGGGTCACACTTGGGCTCAGGGAGCAGGGGATGGAGCTTTCCTAAACTCCACCTGCAATCCAGATGCCATCAGCTGGCGCTGGAATAATCTGTAGTGCTCCAGAACAGGCGGTATCTTCACTCGGGGCTGGAAAACAGCCCTCGGTGTTCAGCYGAGTAGGGAACTGACTCTGCGCACAGCTGTCGGATCCCGTTTGTGCCTCCTTAGGGATTAATTCTGGTTTTTAAAGCGTTTCAGGCACCTACCAAGAGTTTTTAAGCAGGATGCAGGTGGGCACACCTCTGCTYCATACTGGGGCAGCCCCGTGCTCCTGCTGCACCCTCCCAGTGAGCAGCACACGGAGCATGGTGTGCAGAGCCTGTGGCTCTGAAAGCACTGACGTGGCTTTTGAAAGAAAGATGGTTTGTTTTTCTTGCATCAAATCCTCTTGCTGCTTGCCGAGGGAAGCTCGTCCTCAGAGCAGAGCAAGGATTTATAAATACCAGGTTGTGCCCACTGCCCGTCTCGCCCGCTCCTGCGGCCGGGAGCTCTCCCTGTGGCCGGAGGTTTGGCTGGCAGCTGGCAGGATCCAGCTGCGGGTGGAGAAGGAGCAGCTCTGCCTGCTCCCGCTGCGGAGGGGGTGGCTGTGTGGCAGAATCACAGCCTGGCAGCATCGCAGGGATCACAGCGTGGCCCTGGGCAGCTCCCTCCACCGTCACGGGAGGTGGTGACAGTGGCAATCGAGAGCCAGCGGAGCTGTCACCCTGCCTGGCAGCCAGGGACTCTGCCCATGGGGCTAAGTGGCATCTTCAGATGGATCCTTGCAAAAACCTCACTGCTGGGAGGATCCTTCCTAAAACCTCACCTTTCCTGCTGGGAGAACGGCAAACAGGGGAGCAAGGAGAGGCCCAGGGGCTGGCAGAGCACTGGGGCACTGCACATCTTTCCTGCTGGGAGAAYGGCAAACGGGGGAGCGAGGAGAGGCCCAGGGGCTGGCAGAGCACTCGGGCACTGCACCTCTTTCCTGCTGGGAGAATGGCAAACGGGGGAGCGAGGAGAGGCCCAGGGGCTGGCAGAGCACTCAGGCACTGCTCAGCTGGGCACCTCTGGCTGGGTTAGAGTCACCACCCGTCAGCCTGGGTGCTTGCTGCTGCCGTGTGGGAGCAGAGCCTGCCTGTGGAGCCAGGGTGGCTCATCCTCAGCAGGCAGGAGCAGAGGCTGAGCCTTGCCAAGGCCTGGCCTCACCCCACTGGTGCCAGCGGGAGGGACACGAGCCGTGACACAGGAATGTCAGTTGTCACCCCTCCAAAGAGAGCAGGCTGGGACAGGCTCCTTAGGGATCACCAGCCCTGCAGCCTGGGCTCCAGGCATGGGGGAGAGGCAGGACTCTCTGCTTGCAGACTAAACTGCTTGATCTGGGGTCGTTTGGCTTCCCGGGAGAGCCCAGCGCTGTTTGCAGGGTGTCTCGTGGTGTGTTTTGGGCATGATTCCCTTTTCTGTGAATCCTGTGAAGTTCCTGAGGACCCGGCTGTGCTGGGAGCTGCACAAGCAGCCAGGCCTGCTCAGAGCTCCGGGCAGACAGATTATTATCTTGATTTACCATCTGACAGCTCCCATCCTGCTCGGAGAGGCCAGCACAGAATCAATCAGGGCTTGGTCACAGCATCCTCTGCCTCAGCCCAGATCACCCCGCCTGCTCCCCTTCCTTCTTTCCCATTCCAAACCCAAACCACTCGACCTTTCCAGCGGGAGGATGTGCTGATGGCTCTGACCCCTGCAAGGGGAGCCTGTAATGGCTTCAGGAGCACAACCAAAGGCAGGAGAGCAAAGCCCCAGCAGAGCAAAGRGCCTGGAAGAGGAGCGAGAGGCCGGCGTCTCCCTTCCAGCTCTGCTTCAGACTCCCTTGGACTCGGCACAAGCAAGCCCTGACCCGAGAATGGCTGCAGTTTGTRCTCTCTGCTGAAATTTATTTGAAATGCCACTCTCCAGGACCATTTCTGAAGCAATTTGCTGTTCAGCCTGGCTGGGAAGAGCCCTGAGCAGGCTCGTTCATTCAGAGCCTGTGATATTGACTCTTCTCTTTACTGCAGGATTAGAGAGCATTTGTCATCTCCAAAATGAATAACTTTTCCTCTCCTGGGAGGGGGGAGAAGCCTTGCCTCAGTACTGACATTTTGCACACCCAGCCCACAAACCTGCTTCGAATCCCAGATGATGATGTGGGAATTAAACCAGGGGCTTCATTGTTTCTGCTCCATCAGCAGAGCAAGGCCCAGCACCCCCTGAGCCTCYCCCTGCACTAAACCCACAGTCCAGAGGAAGAGAGGCCTGGGGGAGCTCTCACCTGCCCAGGTACCAACCCCACAGTGTGTTATTGGCACACAACCCAATAGAAACTCAAGCCTTTCTCAAGTCCCTCAGGGACAGGCCACAGCCTCTGCTCTCAAGGCAAAAAAATAAATAAGAAAAAACCTTAAAAATCAGAACGAGCCACCCAGCAGCACCAGAATAAGAAGGCAGAAGCTCAGACTTGCCAACTCATTGTCTAGAGCCCGACCAGTTCTCCCTCCTGTCCTGGAGATCACAGTATTTAACTCACAAACTCACCCTGTTTGCCTCTGTCATTTGAGCTTCCAGAGGTGTTTTGAAGCCTTTCTCAGGAGGTCCAGGAGCCAGMAATGCTTTCCCATGGGAACTTCAGCCTTTGTTAACAGGATGCGTTCCCAGGAATGAAAGCTAGAGAAACAAACTCCAGCTGTTGCAAGATTTGGAAGARCAGAGCCACGAGCGTTGCCGGCAGCAACCTTTCCAGGGGGCTGCACCACTAAAACACCAACCACGGCATAGGGATGGCTGCATTGCTCTGGAAACCCTCTGAACTGGAGAGGAGCTGCTCTGAGGCCAGGAAATCCAGCCCAGGTGGGATCCAACAACCTTCCACAGCAGCAGCTACCCCGGGCTACRCACCTACCCCTCCTCCTGAGACAGGTGAGCCACAAAGCTCAGCCTCGAGGTACAGCAGAGGGACTCACCTGAGAGTGGAGAGCCGGTGGGTGCAGGATGAGATCCAGGCTGGATGGGTGCTGGAGAAGTGTCCCCTTGCCTTAAACCCGAGGATGGTGCCGGCCAGGAGCGCTGGAAAGGACCTGGAGGCTTTGAAGAGCAGAGTGTTCTCCAGGCTGTAATTACCCACTGGCTTCCCCCACCCCTGATTATGCAGAGGAGGGAAATGGCAAAACCCACCAGTCTGCCGGGGAGGGAGGAGGCTGCTCCGGTCCTGCCCCTGTGGCATCTGTCCCCCCCAGGACCCCCAGTCCCCCCAGGGACCCCCTCCTCGTTGGGCAGGACCAAGGCGCAGTCTGGAAAGGGATTTTCTGTGGGTCAGGGCTGCGACAAGATTAATTCATTCATTCATCGGAGAAAAGATGCTCAGAAAAAGGAGGATGTGATGGCAGGAACACCTGGCTGCTGCCAGCCCACTGCCAGCCAGGCTTCTCCCGCAGGACCATCTGCACCCTGTGGAATGTCAGCCCTTTGCAGAAAACCCCAGTGACAYGCCAGCTCCTYTGGAAGGCACTTCWARTGCTGCTTTARGGACTGTTCTGGATCCAACCCCTCRGCAGGACAGGCTCCAGCACCCCAAAACACCGGCTTTGGGCTGCTGTGACTCACAAACCCCAGCCAAGGAGAAATGGGAGAAGAGGTGGGGGTTTTGTGTCACAGGAGGTGGTGCACACCGGCTGTACCCTGCACTCCCCTGGCAGTGCCTCTCCCTGTGCCTGTTGTGCCRCCGGCCTTCCCAAGCACAGCCACACCAGGCTCTGTGTGTGCTTTGTTCCATCTTCAGCGATTTCCTTCTTTTTTTTTTCCAACAACGGCTGGGAAGAAGCTTTTCATTCCTTTTCTCTCCGTGTGCCCCAGCACAATGACGGGAATTGCTGCGTGAAGAGCAACAGTGTTGGATTACAGCGGGATAAGGCGGGTGTGCTGGGAAAGGCAAATGGAGTTTCACGGGAGGAAAACGRGGGACTTTGGGCCAGGCTTTGGGGCTGGGTGAAGGGATTGGGGGTGCAGCCCTGACACAGATGAAGGCTCACACCGGTGAGCCGGGGGCAGCTCCCGGTCTCAGGCRAAGGCACCGCACCCCACAGGAGCCGCTGCCAGCCCAGGCAGACGAGGCCCTTTTCATTCCCAGCTCCCTGCACGCCAGCAGCTGCTCAGCCTGGTGTGTGTGGGCAGCAGCGTGGCTCTGTCACATGCCTGAGACAGCACGTCGCAGTCGGTGCCATCGCAGCCAGCTCCCGCTGCGAGCGCCGCGCAGCACAGAGGGGACRCTGCCAGCCGCCCCTCTCTGCCTTGGTGGCTGTCCCCTGGTGCCTGGGCATCAGCAGCCCCCAGGCACGTGCTCTGGGGACACAGCAGCCTTATCTCTCGCTGAAATAATGAGATTTTCTCCAAAATATTCCCTCCTTCTGGCTGAAGAGGGGAAGCTGCACCGCCGGGTATCGGCCATTCCGAGCCGCAGGGATGCCGTGTGTAACTGGGGTGTAAGAGGTTGTACAGAGCAGCTGTGGCTGCTCCTGGATCCCTGGCAGTGCCCAAGGCCAGGCTGGACGGGGTTGGAGCCACCTGCAATGGTGGAAGGTGCCCATGGCAGGGGATGGGATGGGATCCATGGGATGGGATGGGATCCATGGATGGGATGGGATGGGATGCATGGGATGGGATGGGATCCATGGAATGAGCAGGCATTTTCCACCGGCACAGCAGCCCCAGAGTTTGCAGAGCGAGCCCAGCCTGTCGCATGCAAATCACGGAGAGGTTCCTGCCTTGAACAGCAAGCACTGCATGGAAAGCAGCAGAGCCCTTCCCAAACCACCTCGGGAGCGTCCCGGGTACCACCGGGAGCAGCCGGAGGCTCTGCCTTGCTCCGAGCTGGTTTGGGGCTGGCTCTGCCCGGCTCCAGCAGCRTTTCCCAGGTGTTTCACCTCCACTCTGGCAGGTCGTGGAAAAGAAGGGGATGTYGACCCCATCCTCGGCTTCTCAGGAGCAGGATGCTGTGGCTCTGGCATCAGCTCTGCCCTTTCCCATTCAGCCCTGTGCTTCCAACAGGAACAGGGAACAGAGGGTCCCCACGGGGTGGTTTKGGGCACCATCAGAAGGACACAGACCTGCCCCAGCTGTCTGGGCCTGGATGGATGATAAAGGAGACATCAGAGCAAATTAATTACTTAAATTACCTAATTTTTTTTCTGAGCCATGGCTTTTGTGCCAGCCTCAGATTCCTCTGGGCTCCCCRTGATTTTGAGTGCTGTGTTGGCAGGAATTGGTGACATTACAGTGTCGGCAGCAAGTCCCACCCTGAGTCCTCAGTCTCTCCCCGGGGAAGCTGTGGTCGTCCCTTCCCTTCTTGGACAACCAATTAGAATCCAGCACAGATCCCAGTAAAATCCATGCTCTTTTCTCTCCCCAGCTCAGCGTTGGACACACTCTATGAGCCATCCCAGCCTCAGCAGCCCAGAGCACCGGGGTGCCGCTCCGTRATTTAGAGCAGGACTTTGTTACCAAGCGTAAGTGCCTGAATCCTTTGCATTGTCAGCAGGAAGTGTTTGAGAGCAGGGATTTCCCCTGCTCAAAGAACTTTATTCCTTTGAAAAACACCACACCTTTCCTTGCTGCTCCAGCTGGGTGACTACAGTGGGGGGGAGCCGAGCGCTTGCAGCTGCAACAAAAACGTTCTTGTTGGGRCAGGAACTTGTGCAGTTTTGGGTCCACAGCTTCAGGAGCTGCTCAGGTAGCTACCAGGGAAGAGCCACATTATGCTCATTAAGTTTCTGTACYGCAGAGCCAAAAATCCACTGGCAGCACCACCAGCCACTGCTGGGACCTGCCGGTGCTTCCTGGAGCACGGGATGAGGGCAGACAGCTGAGGGCTGGGAAAGCCTCAGTCAGGGCCTTTCAGTGAGAGATTAAGAATTGGTGGAGGAACAGATCCCTCTCCCCAAGGTGCTGAACATCTCCCAAATCCCCTCAGCCCTGCCAGTGCCACTGGGGTGGGCTCTGAGATCGCTGGGCAGGGCAGGGACTCCTGGTACAGACCAGAGCCTTTCCCGTGGCCCTTTCCCCCAAACAGAGAACACACAGACTGGTGGATTCAAACAGAGAACACACAGACTGGTGGATTATTAATGCTCTGGGGCTTGTCCCCTTGCCTGCAGCTTCTGCCCTGGCTTTGGAGGGGCCCCGGAGGAGCAGGGGGATCAGAGCAGGGTCTCTCTCTGCGTGGCTCACACGGGCAATCCCAGGCCCCTGCAGGCATCAGTCAGGCATTAAAGCAGCACAAGAGCCTCCCCTGTCCCAGCCTCTGCCTGGGTTTTACTTGCAGCTTCTGACATAACCAGGTCACTCTTTCCACACTTCCCCTGGCTCCATGRGAGCCAGTGACTGATGGACGTGACTCACGGCCTTTCCTAATGGGCGACTTTCCTCTGTTTATGTGCTTTGGCGGGGCCTTTCCTACACCTAAAAAAGGAGAAGGGTGGCACTGGGGAGAGGGCAGGCTGCTGGAAATYGCTGGCATCTGCTGTTCCTCACCATTCCTTTGAACTCTGGCCAGCTGTGTTGTGTTTGAGCATGGWAAAGGTGTAGCTCATCTCCTGATCCAGGTGAGATGCTGTCCGGGCCCACAGGAAAACCCTTGGCGAGTAATTGTTGCTAATTAGGCWGGAGGATTTTTTTGTTACTATCTGTCCAGGCAGTGCCTGGAGGACTGTGCTAATGAGCACCGTGAAACCAGACCCACATTCCCCACAGAACCTTGCCAGGCCACAGCARGGCGAGCTGGGGTTTCCTGTTCCTGCACAGAGCCAGGGACAGTCCCGCTCATGTGGCCTCACTTGTGTTTTGCAGTGACTAAGCACTGGGAGCTCTCGCTGTCCTGCCACCACCAGGCCAGACAATCCTTCCTTTGGCTGAAGATCCCCTTGGCTCTCTTCCCATAATGGAAGCCTGAGTGCCAAGATCCTCCATGACCTCCAGAAGCCACAACTCCCTGCCGAGAACTCTGATGGCTCCGCGAATGCTCTCCGAAGGTGCCCTGGGCGGCATCGCCCAGATCACCCCCTCGCTGTACCTGAGCCGGGGCAGCGTCGCCTCCAACCGGCACCTGCTGCTGTCCCGTGGCATCACCTGCATCATCAACGCCACCATCGAGATCCCCAACTTCAACTGGCCCCAGTTTGAATACGTCAAAGTGCCTTTGGCCGACATGCCCAACGCCCCCATCTCGCTGTATTTCGACAGCGTGGCCGACAAGATCCACAGCGTGGCGCGGAAGCACGGCGCCGCGCTGGTGCACTGCGCCGCCGGCGTCAGCAGATCAGCCACGCTCTGCATCGCCTTCCTCATGAAATACCACAAGGTGTCCCTCTTCGAGGCTTACAACTGGGTGAAGTCACGGCGCCCCGTCATCCGGCCCAACGTGGGCTTCTGGAGGCAGCTGATAGACTACGAGAGGAAGCTCTTTGGGAAGACCACGGTTAAAATGGTACAGACACCCTATGGAGTCATCCCAGACGTTTACGAGAGAGAGAGGAGACCCCTGATGCCTTACTGGGGAATTTAATGGGACTGCAGACGGGAAGCACAACAGAAGGGATGCGCTGTTCCGAGTCGACCAGACTGGAGACATTCCCTTCTCCTTCTACAGCCAACTTTGGTTCTTTACCATACAGCAGAACCTCAATTCTCACCTCACTAACCTGCAAGGCCAACGATTCCCTTCAAAAAGCATTTTTCTCTATGGGGATTTCCCATCTGCATCTCTGATTTAGCAAAACCAGGTCTCATTATAATGAGTTTATTCCTTCCATAAAGCCTCCATCTTTTCTTTTTTTTTTTTTTTGTTTAGTAAGTTTATTAGGATCCTCCGAGGCAAGGCCTAAGAGGCTTTGGGCACAGTTGATGACCCAAGTGCGCTTCGTGACGCGGTAGTAGCCTGGGTATTTTGTTCTAGCTTGTTTGCTTCCTTGCAAAACCCTGTAGTGGCTCAGGAGCAGCACTAGCGAGGCCCTGCTCCACAGCAGGTTTTCCAAGCACCAGGGAGGCAGGAATACAGGGGCTGTGGTGCTGGTGTTTTCTTTAACATCTTGTAGTGACTCTCAGTATATAGTGTTTGAGATCTTTAGTCAGCTCTTAATCGTATT